ATTTTCAAGCTGGTGGGAAGAACACCTCAAATGAACAAGTGCAGTCCTATATTTATAAATGGATAGGTTTTGCAATTTATTTACAGAGATAATTAAATATGGACACATTACAATGTGTTTGAATAAATAAAAACATGTGTCATACTGCATGATATTACCCAGTTAGATATGGATGGTTATTTCATACTGATCGTAATCGGTTGTTGCCCAAGTCCGTTATCCTAACGTAGACCTTTCTGTCTGTCTGCCTTGTTTAACGTCACACTCAGCAATGTTCCTGCTTTATGACGACGGCCAGTAAATAATTCAGTCTTGACTAGACAATCCAGAAATCGATACTACGAGCAACGATCCATGAATACATATGACAAAACATTCTCAACAAAACTTTATGACAAGAGGGATGACTTCAACTTTCCAACAGTCAACTTTCCCTTCATGTCGAGCAATATTCCAGCACTTCCAGCCTTTGGTGTTTACATTTCACAACTTTTGAGATACAGTCGAGCATGCTCTTTCTACCAAGATTTCAAAGAGCGTCATACGACTCTTGCTCAGAACTTGTTTGATCAAGGTTACAGCAGTCAAGGCCTCAGTAAAGCTTTACAAATTTGACGCATTAGGTACAAAAATCATGCCCAATGCAATTCCCTATTTTGACTTGTACCATATGTTCCCCTGTCTTTTTAGGTGAAATGTTGACTTGTCTTTGCATTTGTTTGTGACTGGTGCCACTGGTGGGGCAGCATACGCTCACCTTTTCGCGAAAACCTGGTATCATTACTGTTTGATAGTGATTTAAAAACACATGTTCATGATATAGTCGGAATCGTCAATCGACTCTGCTTAATGCAGGGATTTCTATTGGATATAGAAAGGGTTTTGTCGCTTTATTCCAATCCAAGACTGATGGTGATTCTGTTCATTTCAAGATTGGATGGATGGATGGATGGATGGATGGATGGATTATTGATAAATAAATATATAATGATAGTTACGTTTGCATGTGTGTATATGTCGACTTTTAGATGACTAATAACAGAATATATGAATCACTTCATTCAGTTGCATTGCGGTGTGACTGTTGCGGGTACTAAGGACCCTTTTACGTCCGCTTCGAGCAGTCGATATCTCAAGTTTACGTGTATCAATCTCGGTAATTTAAAGCTTATGGAAATGATAAACAGATGATTCGCACGTACAATATTCATATCCTAACCATCCCAATGACAATGAAAGAATGAGTAAACAAGGTCGCTTTTAACAGTATACATACTATATCATGCAACTCACCTGCACCAGGGGCGGTCGGGTAGCCTAGTGCTTAAAGCGTTCGCTCGTCACGCTGAAGCCCATTTCTCGTGTCCCCCGCCGTGATATTGCTGTAATATTGCTAAAAGCGGCGTAAAACCAAACTCACTCACTCACTCACTCACTCACTCACTCACATGCAACAACGTGGTACTGTTAGAAAAAGAATCGCTGCAGCATATGTAAATCGTACTCTTATCTGTGGTGGGGCGGTCGGGTAACCTACAGGTTAAAGCGTTCGCTCGTCACGCCGTAGACCCGGGTTGGATTCCCGACATGTGTACCATGTGCGAAGCCCATTTCTAGTGTCCCCCGCCGTGAGATTGCGTAAAACCAAACTCACTCACTCACTCACATGCACCAGCATGGTACTGTCAGAAGAAGAATCGCTGCAGCAGCCTATTCCACTGGGTGGCCACGCATATCTATTCCAGGTGCATCATGCCATGTTAGAAATAAAGACAAAAGCTTCAGCTTTCAACTACATTTTAGAAGTGTGATCAATGATAGCATATTGTTTCAGTAAGCAGATGGAAACAGTCAATGGATGTTTGCATTCACATCGAAATCGAAATCAAGGGCTACCATTCCCCAGGATGTGATTCGCATGCTCGTCTCTTCCATGGGCAGGAGATGTCAGGCCGCTCTCGAATCCAACGGCGGACATACGTGTTATTGATGATAGCTGACCTTCACCCCGGACTTTTCCTATGTACCGATGAGATGACTACAATCACCAAGTGTTCTCTCCACAGCAGTTTGGCTCAAAACCTTGTATGGCTCCTCACTCAAATCTGGCTTTGCGTTTCTTTTTTTAAGAGTATATATAATGCTTTATTGTATCTCTGAATCAGAAAATTTACAATTGTGTAATACAATTTCTTCTTTTCGAGCACTACGATGTGGTAACATCATCTAGGACTACTGACGTTTTACTACCTTAAAGTTTTCATTAGACCAGAACAGACATTGAGTGGCAAAAGATCTTGTGTACATAAAGGAGTTTAAAGCACAAATATCTGGACCCCTGAACTCCTGAATTGGACTCCTATACTTATACACCTGAAGAAATCCATATATATATATATATATATATATATATATATATATATATATATATATATATATATAAGAATGCATGAAGGCGTTTAAGCTTTTAGCGTTTGAAGGCAGAAAGCCAAGGTGACGCAGGCCGCCGATTTTGGTGAATCCCACAAGGACTTTGTGTTGCTGACAACCAATAAGTGCACACGGAATGAATTTGGATTATTTCCCATACCCAGCCGAAGAGAAAATTGCCGCGCCTTGAAGAGTTCCATCTGACTTATAATCCAACAGAAAGGCCTGATCAACAATAAATTACTTAAATTAAATGGGTGTTAAATTAAACAAAATTCAGATTTTGTTGGGTACAGGGTATTCATGGTCAAGTACCGTATTGATGTTTCATACACTTTTCTGGATTTCGAGTTATTTTGCAACTCATCGTTCTCATTTGGAGTCAAACGGACTGTAGTTATATGTTGAAATGCGCTTTGTATCTGTTTGTTACTCTCGTATAGTTATGCTTCCTAGAGTAATGCTTTACTAACGTACATTGCATTGTTTAGTCTGTTGAGTAAAGGGGCCACCAGTCGATTATATAAATTAGAAATTGACATAGTTTTAACAACATGGAGCTAAACAGTAGTATGCAATAGAGAATTCTCTGTGTGATGTATCATATATTTGTTTGATCAATGTGTATACATATGTGTTATCACTATAGTGGACCTGGATGAAATGAATACATTAATACATTACTTTTGCTTTAACTCTATATCTACCACCCATCCGCACTTCCCCAATTGCCACCCATCACTCCCACTCCATCTTCTCCAACTCATCGCCCTCTCGCCCAATGTTCTAATTCCACTCCAACTCCCACCCATAACCATCTTCCCGATGCAAGGGCGTTAACTGACTATAAAAGACCAGTTTCTACGTGGAACATAACTCTCTCTTTCTCTCTCTCTCTCTCTCTCTCTCTCTCTCTCTCTCTCTCTCTCTCTCTCTCTCTCTCTCTCTCTCTCTCTCTCTCTCTATTATGTTTTACGTTTTGACGTCAGCGTGTGTGCATGGTTCACTGCAAAAAGTGTGTGCATCCCAGTTTATGTGACAAGGACAAAACCCAGGACACATCAGTGTGAACGTGACACACACACACACACTGGTCGCTTGAGAATAATCATACGGTGTATGAGTGGGGTATCCATGTTGAACTGGGGCGTGGTATCTCAGTGGGCGAGTGCTATAAAACTGGCATTAGCTCGGTCTAGCATAAACAGACGCCCGCACGCACGCACGCACGCACGCACGCACGCACGCACGCACGCACACACATAAGCGTTTTCCATAGTATGCGAACCCTCAGATAGCGTACATCTCTCAGGAGGTATTCTTGTACTAAAATAGTTCCATGATAAAGAACTAGTATATTAAAGGCAAACATTTATAGGACGATATTCTTACTTATCATGCTATGATGTTAACAAGGGCAATCCTACAGCATCTCTCTTTTATAATTTCAAGATTCAAGGTGTACTGGAGGTTACTTGACTTCATGGTCTTTCTGAATATGTCTAATCTTTAATTTCAAACTTGAATGACGCCTTACACCCGTGTATAGGTCATGGTGACATGTCTTGTAATGTCATTCCTCATCATACAGACTATGTGATATGTATATGCTCAAGATTTGGGTGTTGCTAAACTTTTGTTACTGTGTATACTTTCAAATTAAATGATGTCAGGTTATGTCTCTTCTATGTCCCTTCTATGACCAATCAAATTCCATCTCGCATATCACATGCATTTGCTTCAGACCCGTTTTATTACAATATATATTTTGATTATCGATCAGATTGAATTCACTGAAGGCCGCCATTTTGTATGATTTGTTTGTTTGTTGTTTATTGCATAGTGCGGCGTTAAACAACAAAAATCGAAGCCGTACTTTGCATGCTTTGGGAGCTAGCATTTTCTAAAATTGTAAATATGGTGTTTTTCGATTCCGAGCGAAAATTCCTGTTGAAATTTGTACCGCTGACTTACCGAATTTCTTGTTTATAATCAAAACACGCTTAATTGGTGGCGTCGATCAGCCCGCCCATCGTCACTTTTTTCACATAAGAATTTTTACATTCTTTACATAAACCTAATGGTATATTGAGTTTATCTACATTTGTTCCTCTCAGTCGATGGCACTGGTGGCTCAGTCGTCTAAGGAGCGGCAACTCGCCGTGTAATGTGGCATCCCTTTGGCACGCCACAAACGTATGATTTTGGCTTCGCGTCACGGTTCGTCCCTATTTTGTTTCTAGGTTTTTCAGCAACACACCCGTGCTCCTGGATTTCACCAAAGTGGTAATCGTCGGAGGCCTGCATCACTCCGGGTATTCCTTTCACAATACGCTGAAACGCCTTGATATAACTGGAATACTGTTCAAAGCGGCGTTAAACCCAACTTACTCACTGGGCCCTCTGTTGTGTTCCGTTCGCCATTGACAACGATGACACGCATCAACCAAGTCAGCGAGCCTGACCACCCGATCCCGTTAGTCGCCTTTTACGGCAAGCATGGGTTGCTGAAGACCTATTCTACCCCGGATCTTCACGGGCCGAAGACCTTAGCAATAACATACGCCGCACACATATCATGCTTTATTGTATCTCTGATTCAAGATCTTTACATGGTTGTGTGCTCTGTGTGATACACTTTCGACATTTCGGACACAATGAGCACATGTTGTAGCATCATCTTGGACTACTAACGTTTTACATCGAACGAAGGGGAGATGAGGTAACCAGAAAATGTATTGTAACTGTTGGCTGGAGTCCCATGCAAATATGCAGTCCTTGCTGCTTCCACCCACACCTGGTCGCCAGTCTTCAGATGAAGGATAATGGAGTTCCCAGAACCCGTGTAACCAGTTCGTTGACAATAGGCGCTCGCCACTTTGTTGTGGTTGTGATGGAGCTGCAGGTATGCCTCTTTACCACTTTGAGAAATAGCATGGAAATGAAATGCGTACACTCCACTCTGGGGACAATAAAATATGCCCATTGTCCTGTTATAGACGTTTCCAGTGTTGAGGAGGATCTGCTCGTAGACAATGGCTTGTCCTTGAGCAAAGGTAACATCGCGCCTAATGCCTGCTGAAAAGGCAAGCTGGTAGAAGCTCTCACCACCCACAGCTGAAAGTAATGTGTTCATTGTTACTAATAATCAACCAGCAGGTGAATAGTTTTAATTTGGTAAACCCTTTCAACACCGTCACATATAAAAAAACTAAATATTAATTTTTTTTTTATTCATGCGACATTGTAATAGAGGAAGGAATGTATACCGAAAAGGATAAGCATGACCTGCTCTACCGGTAGCACCCGCCATTCGCACAATTTGCATGAGTGAGTGAGTTATATCACGGTGTTTCAGCTTAATGTGGGAGGAAAGCCCGATGTGATGCAGGTCTCAGACGTTTACCTCTTCGGTGAAACCCACGAGCACGGGTATGGTGCTGAGACACCTAGAAACATAATCGTGGCCAACCGCGATTCGAACCCAATCATAGGTTTCTGGTCTGCCCAATGGACGCAACTCTGCACAGCGAATCGCGGCGCCTTAGACGACTTGGCCCCCATGCCCCCAAATTTGCGTGAAAAAGGAAGTACGTATTGCCTGAAGTCGCACAACAGTACTCCTGCCATGCAACGGCGACTCTTTTAATAAGTATGTTCGTTTTGCACTTGTAGCACAGGTCAATGGTTCTGATCTTATGATGAAACGCGGGAACTTCAGTCCACCAGCAGAAACACCGACTCCGTTTAAATGAAGTTTTAGTAAATCTGTGAAGACACAAGATGTTATGTAAACCACGTTTCCGATACAAAATACCAACAAGGAACACGTCAGGAACGGATAAAGCGACATATCGTAAATGGAAATGACTTATGCATGTTCGCAGCACATTTTGAATTGAATTACATTTATCAGCAAGGACCGTCCACCAAGTGGAGGTACAGAATCAGCTCATCTCCGAAAGTGTTACTAACAGGGATGTTTATATAGCAAATAGGTGTCAGTGCAATATAGGATCATGGTAGGCCTGCATCTGGTTCTGCACGATTTAGGCATGCATTTGAAAATGCAGGATCATAAATGCATATGTCACACACCCTGTGACATGTTGTGAAAATGATATTGTGGGTGAAAATAACACTAGAGGAAGATTTTGATTCGCATGAAAAGCTCAACCATAGAGTTGTGGTGTATGCACACACGCAAGCTATAACATATGTACAGCCAACTGCAAATGGGGCATACATGGGCAAAAAAAAAAAAACGAGACTAAAACTCATAAAAAATGTAGCGCTATTAGGGAATAATACACTTGACGGACATGAATGTCATCTTTTTTCGCGGTTGGTAGAAGCGTATCTTCATATTACCAGTGGTCGTTGAGAAAGTGTGATGTCTGATGTGACAGGTGTTTCCCGCAACTGACGCACAGAGGAGGCAACAATCACGAAGCACACTTGATGGCAATGAAGTACACACGCGGCTCTCACGCACTGATAGATAACGATGACTCCTTATCTTCTGACAACACGACTGTGTAACATATGCGCTATCGATTTGAGGAGGGAGGGGACAGGAGTAATAATGTTAAAGTACCCTGTGAACAATATATATATATTTCCAACTTGTCAAAACTCCTTTATGCCCACACGAGGTGTAATAAAAACTTTAACGTAGTCATGGGCGACGAACAACAGCAGTATTTGTGGCGTCATAATGCCTATGACGTAACAGTTAGTGACAATAGAGTGGTACATTATGGTGTAAATGCGCAAATACACGTTGTACAGTAAAATTGCCACTACCGCATTCATCAATTTGTTTGCTTACATTTATACAACTTACATTTGGATCACGAATTGCTGTCTGTACACATACCAGTTTGTCCAATATAATGCTCACCACATCCCGCACATGGTAAAACATATATAACACCTTTACTGCGGCAGTTCATGTTGTTTTGGACTGTAAATAATTTACATGTATCTTCGCAAAATTGAAATTTTCAGTCTTTAATTATTATTGGGCAATTTTCACATCGGGGTGTGTGACATTCTGTTACACTGATGGTACTTGTATTTTGTATGCATTTGGATGAGAATTTAGGCTGTTTAGTGCTTCGTATAAGTTACTCTGGAGTATAACTGTGACGTCATAGGCATTATGACGCCACAGATACTGCTGCTGTGCATCGCCTATGACTACGTTTACGTTTTCCCTAACCTGTAGAGCTGTTGAGCGGTGAAAGATCTTGTGTGCATAAAGTAGTTTTGACAAACACAGATATCTGGACTGTTTTTGTATATTTAATGCTTATGCACCTGCCTGGGTGTGGGAAATAATCCAAATTCATTCAGTGTGCACTTATTGGTTGTCAGCACAACAACGTCCTTGTGGGATTCACAATAATCGGCGGCCTGCATCACCTTGGCTTTCTGCCTTCAAACGCTAAAGTTAAAACGCTTCATACCTTCATACCTTCATATATTATTTCCCATACCCAGCCGAAGAGAAAATTGCCGCGCCGTCTGACATCCAACAGAAAGGCCTGAGCACCAATAAATTTCTTAAATTAAATGAAGTAGGGAGATTGGGTAACTGAATGTTTTTTCCGAAAAAGGTTATATCATAATTACATCAGGACAGCTTGCCGTACAGAATGTATTGTGAAAATAGATTGCTCGGCTCCTTTCAAGTCCTGCAAAACTCTCTTCAGCCACCCACTTTCCTTCTTCCCATCCCTATATCAATTGGTCAGTCCCAGAGAATTCAACACAGGTTTTTGTGGGGGTAGATCATGTAAACTCATTAATAATGTCGTTGTTTAAAACACCGAAACGAAGCAAAGACAAATTGTATAGCCCCAAGGTAACAATACAGACAAATAGTCACATGAGAAGCACGGATTCGATACACGTGTATGTCTGTACGATGTGTGGGTCACAGTGAACCCTACTCTCCCCGTAATGTAACTATTATGACATGCCGTGATACAACTGGAATACTGTGCCAAACTGTTCCAGTTTCTCCCGGATTATAGTGAAAGGTAACCCGTTGTAAGTTGGACATGTTGGATGTCCTGTAAGAATGTGTTGTGAAAATACATTTCACGGTTCATTTCAGAGAAAAAAATGTGTTTTGAAGCAATGACCATTCACCTCAACCCCTCTAACCAAGAGGTTTAGATCAGCAAAGAAATTGTGAAATGATGTAACATTATACTAACCTACAAGGGTCACCAGCAAAATGAAGATAGAACATCGAGTCATCTCTAGAGTGTTACCTACCGCGTCATACACTGGGGCTTATATTGAGTATGGGTGTCAAATGTAATCAAGAATCTATAACCTTCAAAGTGGAAAATAGCACTTCACACTGTGTCGTTCACACCTCGGCCGCACGTTTCACAATCGCTGCAACATATGGCGAGTAAAGATAACATGAGTATTCAGTTTTATTTGAAACACGCAGTCGTATTGGGATACTCAAAAACAAGCCAGTCTAACTGTTGTTCTATTGTTGTATCACGTGTCTGCGTATCACTGAAATAAGAATGTACACGGCAGTTCGTCAAATTTGGAAATATCTGCCGAGCCTTAGACGCTAGGTATATTGTTTTTGTTTTTTTAGAACCATAATGTAACATCACAACAACAATGACAACTTTTTTTGTAGGGAGACCTCGCTAAACTATGCCTGACTGATTGTTACTGACAAACAAGGAAACAGAAATACGCCTTCTGTGAAACGCCTTGACCTTTCATATCATTTCAAACTTTTTTCTATCATGGTCCGACGATTAATATATTGTACTGTATATTGAAATATGACTTTGTAATAACTCTTTTTTACTTTTAATAAAATTTGATTTCTGTTTTAAATTTGATAGAAACGGTTAATTTGTTTTTTTTTAATGCAATGATTAAACCTGCTTCCAGATGTAGTGCTAAAGATCTGAATAAAACAGATTTGATGAGCATATGATATTCATATTGTTTAGAGGATATCTGACATTATATTTGATGGATGCATGGTACTTTATCATGTCGTATGATCGCCTACCTCTTCTAATAAAACATGCTGACAACAGAGTGTGTTCACACGATCTGACATAAGAACCGTCATCCACGCACATACATATGCAGGTATACTGTATCTGTTGCGGCAGAGCTTATAGTGAGGCACGGGTGGCCCAGTCGTCTGATACGTCGTCATTCGCTGTGCAGAGTTGCGTCCCTTTGGCACGACAGAAACATATGATTGTGGGTTCGAATCCAGGTTCACCCCGACTGTTCCTAGGTTTGTCAGCACCATACCCGCGCTCGTGGGTGTCACCAAGTGGTAAACGTCTGAGACCTGCATCACTTCGGGCTTTCCTCCCACATTAAGCTGACACGCCGTGATATAACTGGAATACTGTTGAGAGCGGCGTTAAACCCAACTAACTCACTCACTCAGAGCGTCACAAAAGATGCTACTGACTAACGAAGATCTATGTCGGTTCTTGATTTCGTTGCACGCAAAGAATATCGAAATATCCTGACCATGACACACGAATATCGTCATGTCATTTTCTTCTTCTGATTAAAATGCAGATGCAAAAACAGATATAAGTCCAGCCAGAAGACCCATGACTGTATTAAAGTGATTGTTTGAGTGAGTGAGAAAAATTAACATAAACATAAAAATCACTTTGCGTGTGAAGGAAAACCTGGATAAACTACCCTTGGCTAAGTGTTTCTGATAAAAAATGGAAACTATATAAATATGCTGAATTCAGTATACGGCTGACTTGTTTTTATGGGTTTTGCAATGTGAAGATAAACGTAATGCATTTCTTCAAGTATGAGTGAATGAATTAAATTTTAACGTCCCATCATTATATTCCGCCCAATACGGTCGTTTTTTCATGTAAATTGTGTTTAATCGTGTTACGTAAATATTAATGTTTTACTTCTACAACCTGAAACCAGAGGCAATATTTGTATCTTTAAAAGTCCGAAAACACTTCCGTGTGTAACGGGTGACACCGATGGGGCAGGATACGCTCACCTTTTCGCGAACACCTGGTATCATTACTATTTGATAAAGATTCGTAAACACATGTTCATGATAT